TGGATGACTGAGGGCTGCCTGGGCAGTCTGACCTCCCCTCTCACTGTGGGCTTTCGTGATTGATTCACCCACTTGCTTAGGAGGTTGCTTTCCATCTGAGAAAATTAAAAACACCACTCTCTGGACAGGAATGTGGGATCATAAATGAGAACCAAATAGAAAAGATTTATGCAAAAGTACAAGCTCAGCAAAAGAGAAAACTTAGAAATTGCTAATAAGGTATAAATCAAGCAAAGGCTATTAGCAAGCCCCTGGTAAGAAAAAAAAATAAAGCCTTATAAACTATTTTCTGAGCAACTAACAGCACCATTTCTACCTCTGATTTCTGGGTATCTCCAGGGTGATCTGGCTCATATCCTTATATGCCACCATGAAGGCCTTCCAGTTTGAAGGTTTTACACCAAACTAGAGAGTATAAGAAGTATACTTATATGGGGTGGAAGCATCCTTCAGGACATTTTGAGCCCCAGAATCACATAATTTTTAGAGCTGTAGGGTCTTCCTCCCTTGTGTGCTCCCCACAACAACAAGGACGGAGGCAAAAATATTGTTAAATATGTGAACCAATAAGAGGAAGGATGGGTGAGTGGACGGAAGTTTGGAAGGAATGATGAAGAGAGAGATGGACAGATGGATGCATACATGGAAGGAAGGATGGATAAAGGTTAACTCACTCATTTAACAGATGAGAAATGTAAGGCAGAGGGCTCACTAATTTGTCTATATTGCTAAAAACAGTTGGTGTTAGAATCGGGGCTACCGACTTTCTTTAATCCCAGGCTAGATTTCCCCTCTTCCACTGCCTCTTTTATCAAGGATTCCAAAACGTTAACAATGTTGATTTACAATATAATCTTCTTAGCCATTGGAAACCACTTCCGGAGGCATCTAGGCTGACGTGTTTGTGCCTAGTTGCTAATCAGGGAGATTGAGCACAGAGTGGACTTTCTGTGGCCCTTCTGAGTTCATCAAGGATGAGGGAGCATGAGGACCACTTGGCTGCCATCGACGTCCTTCCAGCCTCATTCTCTGAGGCCCACGCAGCACGTGGGCAGGGCTGCTGGGCTCCATCAGGCTGGACCCAAGGCTCACAGGCCCCCAGCAGTGACGAGGGAATTCTTTGCCCCAAATGCCCAACAGTTATTCTGTCTCTGCCAGGGCAGCTTAATGACAAGGAGCGGACTTCTTCTCAGAGGAGCCTGCCTCCCTCTTGGGGAGCTGCCCTGAGTATCTGGGGTTTCGCCATATTTCCCTTCATGTGGTGTTGGCTTTGGGTGGTGTCACTCTGGGCTCAGGTTCTTGGCTTCTGTCCTCACCAACTGAGAGAGTAAGTTCCTGCACTGGGTCTTGGTGATGCCCTTAAACTCTATTTAAAATAGAACCACGAGCCAAAAAGATGCACCATTAGCTTTGTGCCAGTGGCGATGAGAGAAGGAGCTGGAACCAGCTGGAATAAGATGCGTCACCCACAGCTCATGCGAAGTGACAACACCCCTGCTTGTAGAAGCGTAACCACATTCCGTAAAACCCCATCCCTCTTCTGGGACTGGGAAACCCTGTGGAAGGTGTGCCCCTCACCCTGCACCTGCCCCCTCGCCAGTGGGCCCTCCAGGAGGCCAGCCTTCGGGCTGCCAGGTGGCACTGGCTTGTTGCTCCCAATGTCCCCTTTCAGCAGCCCCGGAGAGCAGGGTTGGCCTGGGAAGTGCCCGCAGATGGCTGTGGGGAAGCTCTCAAGGCAGAAGAAGAGGGCATTGTACCAAGCGTGTATGGTGTCCCTTATGAATGAAAAACTTCTCATGTGAGCACAACAGTCTAGTTTGGGATGGGACCGCAGAGGCTAAGAGCGCACCAGCATCTGTAATCACCCTGAGCTGCATCTATCTCCCCCTCAACCGAGTGCTCCAAAAATTTAACTGTCTTTTTTCCAGATGAACTAAGTCTAGAGCTTCAGAGAGGCATTAAATAAGGGGGAACAACATATCTTACTGAAACAGAAAAGTCACTTCATTTAAACTTCTAAGATAGTATAGGATATGCGGTATCAGATCGCTGCAGATGTGCTGCTCCAAATCGGCACCCTCGGGAGCACATGTGCCCACCTAACCTCACCCACTTTGCCCTGCAAGTTTACCAGGCCCCCTGAGGCTGGGGCTGGAGCTCTGGGCTCGACTACAAACACGTGCTGGGACTGGAGGATAATCTGTGATTTCTAAACAAAGGCAGCCTCCATCCCTGTCACTTCTCTGGGAAGAGGTCAGTCCCTGTGCCCCATGGCATTGCCTCTGACCCTTCAGAGTAGTACAGTTCACTCTGGCCACTTGGCAAGGAATTTCTTTCTGGAATCTTCCATGGGGACTGGCTGGAATGGCTTTCTGCTCAATGGTTTCCCAATATGCATCTCAAGCTGTGGCCCGATTCCAGAAGCAGCTGGCAGCATTGGTACTTGCCCTGTGGAGGGGTTCATGATGCAGCCCCCGCCTCCTTTGTCAGCAGCCATTCTGCAGCTACAGCCTCTCTCCAGGGTGTCATGGTTCATCCCGAAGTTGTGGCCCAGCTCGTGTGCCAAGGTCACAGCCGCACCAAGGGGGCTGTCTGAATGGTCCTCAAAGAAAACACAAGAGCACAATGTATAGTCCCCATGTCCTTGGCCTTCCTCCCCAGTCCCCACCCACCTACCCCAAGGCATTTATCTCTAACATTTGACTGAATCCCCCCCATAAGGAACCAATATAGAGGCCCACTATCTAGTTCACACTTAAAAAAAGATTTGACCTATTTATTAACCCATGTGGGTTCCCTTCTGCTGAGGAACACATACCTCATGAATACGTGTAGGTTCCTTATGTCTTCACGTGAAATAAGCAAGGCAAACATCTCCACCCTGCTTCTTACAATCTTTCACTAAAACCATTCCATTGAATGAAGCCAAAAGTTGTCCTCGGATAAAGCAGCTCATTCCTTCACAGGTAATAAAAGTTACACTGTATCCTCGACTGAGGTGATGCTCATATAAAGAGCCCCAGAATCACATAATTTTTAGAGCTGTAGGGTCTTCCTCCCTTGTGTGCTCCCCACAACAACAAGGACGGAGGCAAAAATATTGTTAAATATGTGAACCAATAAGAGGAAGGATGGGTGAGTGGACGGAAGTTTGGAAGGAATGATGAAGAGAGAGATGGACAGATGGATGCATACATGGAAGGAAGGATGGATAAAGGTTAACTCACTCATTTAACAGATGAGAAATGTAAGGCAGAGGGCTCACTAATTTGTCTATATTGCTAAAAACAGTTGGTGTTAGAATCGGGGCTACCGACTTTCTTTAATCCCAGGCTAGATTTCCCCTCTTCCACTGCCTCTTTTATCAAGGATTCCAAAACGTTAACAATGTTGATTTACAATATAATCTTCTTAGCCATTGGAAACCACTTCCGGAGGCATCTAGGCTGACGTGTTTGTGCCTAGTTGCTAATCAGGGAGATTGAGCACAGAGTGGACTTTCTGTGGCCCTTCTGAGTTCATCAAGGATGAGGGAGCATGAGGACCACTTGGCTGCCATCGACGTCCTTCCAGCTTCATTCTCTGAGGCCCACGCAGCACGTGGGCAGGGCTGCTGGGCTCCATCAGGCTGGACCCAAGGCTCACAGGCCCCCAGCAGTGACGAGGGAATTCTTTGCCCCAAATGCCCAACAGTTATTCTGTCTCTGCCAGAGCAACTTAATGACAAGGAGCGGACTTCTTCTCAGAGGAGCCTGCCTCCCTCTTGGGGAGCTGCCCTGAGTATCTGGGGTTTCGCCATATTTCCCTTCATGTGGTGTTGGCTTTGGGTGGTGTCACTCTGGGCTCAGGTTCTTGGCTTCTGTCCTCACCAACTGAGAGAGTAAGTTCCTGCACTGGGTCTTGGTGATGCCCTTAAACTCTATTTAAAATAGAACCACGAGCCAAAAAGATGCACCATTAGCTTTGTGCCAGTGGCGATGAGAGAAGGAGCCGGAACCAGCTGGAATAAGATGCGTCACCCACAGCTCATGCGAAGTGACAACACCCCTGCTTGTAGAAGCGTAACCACATTCCGTAAAACCCCATCCCTCTTCTGGGACTGGGAAACCCTGTGGAAGGTGTGCCCCTCACCCTGCACCTGCCCCCTCGCCAGTGGGCCCTCCAGGAGGCCAGCCTTCGGGCTGCCAGGTGGCACTGGCTTGTTGCTCCCAATGTCCCCTTTCAGCAGCCCCGGAGAGCAGGGTTGGCCTGGGAAGTGCCCGCAGATGGCTGTGGGGAAGCTCTCAAGGCAGAAGAAGAGGGCATTGTACCAAGCGTGTATGGTGTCCCTTATGAATGAAAAACTTCTCATGTGAGCACAACAGTCTAGTTTGGGATGGGACCGCAGAGGCTAAGAGCGCACCAGCATCTGTAATCACCCTGAGCTGCATCTATCTCCCCCTCAACCGAGTGCTCCAAAAATTTAACTGTCTTTTTTCCAGATGAACTAAGTCTAGAGCTTCAGAGAGGCATTAAATAAGGGGGAACAACATATCTTACTGAAACAGAAAAGTCACTTCATTTAAACTTCTAAGATAGTATAGGATATGCGGTATCAGATCGCTGCAGACGTGCTGCTCCAAATCGGCACCCTCGGGAGCACATGTGCCCACCTAACCTCACCCACTTTGCCCTGCAAGTTTACCAGGCCCCCTGAGGCTGGGGCTGGAGCTCTGGGCTCGACTACAAACACGTGCTGGGACTGGAGGATAATCTGTGATTTCTAAACAAAGGCAGCCTCCATCCCTGTCACTTCTCTGGGAAGAGGTCAGTCCCTGTGCCCCATGGCATTGCCTCTGACCCTTCAGAGTAGTACAGTTCACTCTGGCCACTTGGCAAGGAATTTCTTTCTGGAATCTTCCATGGGGACTGGCTGGAATGGCTTTCTGCTCAATGGTTTCCCAATATGCATCTCAAGCTGTGGCCCGATTCCAGAAGCAGCTGGCAGCATTGGTACTTGCCCTGTGGAGGGGTTCATGATGCAGCCCCCGCCTCCTTTGTCAGCAGCCATTCTGCAGCTACAGCCTCTCTCCAGGGTGTCATGGTTCATCCCGAAGTTGTGGCCCAGCTCGTGTGCCAAGGTCACAGCCGCACCAAGGGGGCTGTCTGAATGGTCCTCAAAGAAAACACAAGAGCACAATGTATAGTCCCCATGTCCTTGGCCTTCCTCCCCAGTCCCCACCCACCTACCCCAAGGCATTTATCTCTAACATTTGACTGAATCCCCCCCATAAGGAACCAATATAGAGGCCCACTATCTAGTTCACACTTAAAAAAAGATTTGACCTATTTATTAACCCATGTGGGTTCCCTTCTGCTGAGGAACACATACCTCATGAATACGTGTAGGTTCCTCATGTCTTCACGTGAAATAAGCAAGGCAAACATCTCCACCCTGCTTCTTACAATCTTTCACTAAAACCATTCCATTGAATGAAGCCAAAAGTTGTCCTCGGATAAAGCAGCTCATTCCTTCACAGGTAATAAAAGTTACACTGTATCCTCGACTGAGGTGATGCTCATATAAAGGTGGGGGTGGGGTGTGGGGTGGAAGCATCCTTCAGGACATTTTGAGTAACACCCGAGCAGCTGCTGGTGAGCTGGCCCTTCCAGTCTTGGCTCTACCTGGTGCTTGGTAGAGGAGGGTAGTTGGAGAATTCACAGTAATTCACAACCCAGGCTCACTGCACTGAGTAACCCGCAGACTCATTGAATTAAGGGTGCCATCCAGTCATGCCTCCCTCCTGCCAAGCCTTCGCTTTGGCAGGGGAACTTTGGGCATGGATGGAGGCATCCTGATTCTCTGCCTTTCTCAGCTGGGGGCTCACTCAACCCTTGGCTTGGCTTTGGCCTCTCCAAGGCGGCCTCTCCACTGACAAGCACTGCTTGGCCACCCTAAACTTAGTGGGGTGCATAGATGGCTTTGCTAAATAGATATCAGAAATTAATTTAGGAAATATTGCTGCTTAAGTTTAACGAAGCAAAATTAATGAGTGAATGTGGTTTGTTGAAACTGTGCCCATGAGTGGGGGTTTTGAAAGGGACTGGACACCACAGAATAAGGGAGCTGCCTTGTTTGAATCTTGCTTTGTGTTACCCAGGAAAGAGGCTTCCAGGAAATAGTGATACCGTGTTTTACAGAAAGCAGTTTCCTGGTACAGATGATCTTTGGGGCACTACTTCTCAATAATAACAGATCTCACAGGTTTCTTGGGGAGGCAGCTCTTTAGCTCTCAGTCTAAGAAAGGCATGTCAAGGAACCAAGTTATTCTTAGCATAGATGAAATTCCTAATAAATCACTTTGTTTAGATTTTACAGTTTCCTGTTGTAGGAAGCTTCACAAATATGTTTCAGGAAATCAATTCTCAAGAATAACACACATTGGCAAAGAGAATGCAGTTAACCTAAGAATGTGGAGGGCTGAATTTAGCATGCTTTGGCACAAAATGCAAGGAATTCACCCTTTAAAAATTACTCTGATTCTTCTGTATCACTGAATATCTTGGTTTTGTTTTTAATTGCCAAATTGTTTTACATTCTTTCAAGCACAGGTGATGATAAACAGAACACCTCTTCAAAGACCCTGATAAACAGTTTACATTTGTAATAAGAAAAAACCCTACCTCTTTATTCATGGCATTATCCCCAAACCAAGCTGTTAGTTCTTTAATTCTTGGAGGGAGCGGAGCAGGAATCCCCCGTTGGATAGTCCGGCAAAGCCTTTATTGTGAATCATCGGGAACTTTCCAGTACCTCTACCAAGTCGAAAAGGAAGGGCCAGCTCAAAAGCAGCTGCTCAGGTCTTACTTAGAATGTCACGAAGGATGCTTCCCCCGACCCCAACTTTACATGAGTACACCTCAGTTGAGGATAAGATGGTCCTTTCGTCACCCATGAAGGACTGAGCTGAGTTGCTGCTTCTGAGGATGCAGGGCGACTTTGGCTTCCCTCTTAAGAAACAAGGCCCAGGTAGTCAGATGAAAAGGTGTGGCCTTAAGGTACTGAAATGATTATTTTCTCTACCTCAGAAAAATAGAGACACTGCACCAGAACTTATATTTTCAGTCTAATCAGGATTCCTGCTTCCTTGCCGCAGGACTTCCTTCCTCTGGGGTTTGTGGGTCCCACAAGGCGCGGTCACACGGAACGCCGCGAGTTCAACTTCACAGACACCAGAGGAGAAGCTCAGTCTAGAAGTTTTAGATGTGCTTAAAATTCTGATCTCATTTATCTCATGAGTTTGACAAATGAAAGGAGCTGAGGCTGGTCATCCTGCTGGGTGCTTCTCTGAACATGGGTAGGTAAGGGATGTGCCCAAGGTTGACCTTAAAGTGGGTCAAATGTGTTCCCTGATGACTCACTTTGTCTTGACTCGATTCTCACTGTGGTATGCACAGCACATTTACCTAGATTTCCCAGACTTACTGCCACCCATTAAAAAAAAAAAAAACCCCAGGCTTCCCTGTATGCTTTTAAAGAAGGAATCTTGACAATGTGCTTAGACGGAAACAGAACAAAGGATATGAGCTGAAGAAAGCCCCTTCATATGACTAGATTGGTTACGAGAACATTTAAACACTCCACAGCAGCAAAACCCACCACGCTTATGAGGAATTCAGTGTTAGTCCTCCCAAAATATATATGCAAGCAAATGTGAAGTGGCAGTCAGAAGCAGCTGACCATGGAACTGTGAAACAGAAAATTATTCCCTCTTAAAACTTTATAGGCTGCTCCGTACAAGTACAATTGGGATCTGACTTGAAATTAACCTGGCACCAGCAAACACCAATCTTTCCAGTGACTCCGAGGTGGGGATCACATACGGGGCTTCTAGCTCAAAGAAAACCATAGGGTAGCCTAGTAAAGCTGGGAATCCAGAGAATGGGCTGGGTCCTACAAACAGCCTCTCCAATATGTACATTTAGTGCATGTTTACATGAATTTTCAATGCTGCCCAGAGAAGAGGACACATTTGCTGTGCATATTCACCATGACAATTAGGTTGGCAGTGTGGGGCGAGCACATTACTCCATCTGCCCTTTCACGCCACAGAATATTCACAAACACCCTGTTTAAAAAACCTGTGGAGAAATTCAGTTTCTTGGAAGGACAAATCTCTGGTTAATGGAACTGGAGGGATGGTCTCTGAGGAGGCTTTGACTGAGGGCTGGTGCAAAGGGGACACTACATTTCCAGAGCAGTGACAGCAGCAGTGTGAGGTGAAAACCTTTTCTTTAATTCTTGGACAGACTGGAGCAGAAGTCCCCGGTTGGACAGTCTAGCAAAGCTGCCTCCCACTTAAATTCATCAGAATAAGTCCCAGATAGTCTCCTCATTTTATTTCCTTTTACAAACACATATAGCCTATATATGACAAAAACTATCCTTGTAAAGCAGTCAACCCAGGTCTCTGCCTTCCAAGAATAAGGTTATTATAAAGACATACTGGATACTGGATACTGGCTAGGACGGAGGGCAAGCATTTGCAGTGGTAAATAGTTAAAAACCTCAGACTTCTGGCTATTGGGCCTGGAGGTAGAACCATCAGAAAACTATTCTAGCAATAATGTCTGGTGAGACCACAGTCCACCCAAGAAGTTAAGAATGAGGGTAACCCCCGTGCCCTGGCTCATCCCAAAGCTGGGAGGAATTCCTGGACTGGAATGTTCCGACCAAAATCTCAGCTGCAACTTTTTCTCTATAAAAGGGGCACACTGGCTTCCACTGAGCTATTTTTACCCACCCACCTTTCCTGTGTGCAACTTGTGTTCTATAAAGAGTCCCCAAAATACTGTGGGATGAGTAAGATCATAAACAGAGCTAGGAAAAGGGTAGAGTTAAGTCTAAATAGCATTAAGGAAAATGACCTAATTTCACAAAGTTTGATGAAAGCAAGGATTTCCTGAGAACTCATCAAGGGAAACGGGCCCTGGCCCCTGCGGTCAGCGCCTTGGAGTCCGTGGCTTACCATGACAATTCCCCCAGACTGCTCTGCGGTGCACATGCTCATGATCGGTGCCATGCCGATGGTGGTCCCTTGGAAATACACCCCACTAGGAAACAAAAACAAGACTTTCTTAAATACAGGGTGATATTCTAAGATCTGAAATTCTGTGGGACATTCCCCCATTCTGACAGGAACTGCACAGGCGCATGCAAAAAGGAAAATAGCTGTGTGAGGGTACGTTTCCAGGTGGTTTTTATCTTCAGTTCCTTTAAATTTATTGCCCAGTTGCGTCATGGCCCCACAATCCTTTGGGATTTTGTTTGGGAGTCTCAGACAACACCCAGTCATGACTTTTGTATTTACAAGTTGTGGCCCACCCAGTTCCTAATGGCCTGGAGGGAGCCGCTGCTTTCAAACAATGTCTTCTGATGGAAGGGCTGAGAAGAGGCATTAAGGATCTCCGTTAACTCAATGAAATGCGTTTAATGGTTTACTAGATTTTCTGGAGTAGCTGCTTTCCTGCAGAAACATTAGAGTCAGGACAGAAACCCAAGTGCTTTCAAAATGTCTTGGTAATGAAGCTTGCAAAATGTGAAATGGACAGAAAAACAGTTGATCCTTTGCAGCCAGTGGAGAATACATAAGCACGCACAAGGCCCTGGCACCTCGGGAGGAAGATTCGGGAAGGGGACCTGTCGGGTAGACGACATCAAGGTCTGTTTAATGCAACTGTTATTAGGTCCAACCTCATGCATGAAAAATTAAACATTGTTGGTATTTGTTGAACCTTCTTTAAAGGAAACAAATGACTTGCCCATGTTATTTTGGCCACGTACATACACAGATTATACACGTATTGTTTTGAAAGTTAGATATCTCGGCAGTGCCAGTTGGACAAAAGGGCTAAGTATACATAGACCCTCATCTATGTATGTATATATGTATCTATCCATCATCCATTCATCTAATTGGGCTCAGTAGGAGGCATTACAGCCTTTATATTTATATCCATACAGACCATTTTAACAGATACAATTATACATGTAAATAAATAATGATATATATGTATATATCCATTTATCTAATTATGCTCAGTAGTAGGGATTACAGCTTTTATATTTACATCTATATAGGCCATTTTAACAGATACAATTAAACATGTAAATAAATAATGGTGTTACATAAGAGGCTAATTCATTTCCAGATGTTCAAACTGAACAGACTTCATTTGGGAAAAAAGCAAAACAAAACACACTGACTCAAAATATCTGAAATGTACTTTTAGTAGTTCAGGATTAATCAATTCATGAAGTATGAGGTGCCCACAAATATCCAAGGTGGGAAGAAAACCAACCCTATGAAAATGGCCAGAGTAAATTATCAGGGCATGCAGACAGCCTTGGTTCAGATGTAGGCATTTCCTAAGTGAGGATGGGCACCACTGGTTTTTAACTTTCCATCAATGTCCAATAAACTAGCTCCAGTTTGCTAGAGAAAAGTGTCTCTGACTCCAAAGCTTTCAATTCCGTGATGTGAGCTACAAGAAAACAAAGGAATAACGGCATAAACTGTTCAAGGATTTTAATAAAAAGTTTGTCACTTTGGAAAAATCCACTCCATACCAATTTAGACTATGGCATGGATGGTTTTTTCCTTGAAATACAAAGCTGTCTGCACTAGTTTACCAATCTTTTATGATACGTCACAGCGGTGCTTTCCTTTATCTTATTATTCTCACAGTGCTTCCTGCTCTGAAGTTGTCTTGCTCACTGTTGCCTTCTCCCAGTAGACGGGAGATTCCCAAGAGCTGGGAGGTGTACAGTGCTGGTCATTCAAAGCTCCTCAACATGTTTGGTACCTAATTGGTGCTCAACACCCACTGATGGAAAGACAACATATACACTAGTGTCCTCTGATCTAGAAAACCAAAGAGTTATAGCAAAACAGGACGAGGAATGGGCACTTTCTTTCTCTGTGCTTCTGACAGTAATCCCCTAATGCACTATCTTCAGATCTTGCATAAACATTTTTCACTAATAATGAAAGAAAATGAGCTTTTGAAAAAAAATAGACCACTCAGGACAATTTTACATCAAGCCTAAGAAAGATTTGCATGGAGGAAAATGCCCAGGTGATGGGAGAAGGAAATGGGACATTTGCTGGAGGGATGTGTGTCCCTGGGTATTCACAGGGAACCTTTCCCCACGGTTCTGGCCAGGATGGCCTCTGCCTTGCTGGTGTGAGCTGAGAATCCCCCTGTCCAGGTCAGTGTGCTCTATAGAAAAGTGTGCAGCTTTGGGGACTGGGCAGGTGGAGGGAAGAGGAGAGCGGGCTGAGGCCCCTCTTCCAGTGAAGGAGAGACAATGAACGCCCACCTGATCAGCTGCGCATTGTCATGGGATCTGCGAGGCAGAAGCTTCATCTTTCTCCAGTCCAGAAATTCATGGAGGCTTGTGAATGGGTCCTGACTTATAGGGCATTTGTCGATGTCATTCCACACCTCCACGCCCACCAGCACTATTCGGATGTTCAGCGGCCTGTAAAACTGACGAGGACAGGGATTCTTTGGGGATCACATTTGAACTTAAAATGCAGAGGGGAAAACAGATCTGCGTTTTTGAACTTCAATGACCTGGGGGAGAAAATATCTCTGTTCTCCCTTGTTCCTGTGTCATCAGAATTTCAGAAATTTTTACAGCGTCTGATGCAAAGTGATGTGTTAGCTGGGGCCTCAAATGTTGTTGACCAATTACATGCTAAAGTCAGTAGGCTGTTTGACATCTGCTCTTGTTTGTATAGAAGCACAAACTTTGAAATGATTCACTGGTGATTTAAAATATGCACACAGATGTACATTATAGCTAAAGACTGCCAGTTCATATCTGTAGCAAGCAAAACAGTGAATAAATTAGGACCTTTCTGACATTGTACCGGGGACAAGGGTTTGTTCCTTTCAAGCAAAATGTTCTACCAATGAGTTACTGAAAATGAATCAGTATTAACTTTTCAGCAAAGACTCAGGCTTGGAATACAACACTATCATAGTCTGGCCCTTATACTCAACCTGGAAGGTTTTACTTAAATGAACAAATCAATATCTTTCAGAATAATTCAGGCATAAACCGAATGGTCCTCAGGAACTTTAATGACCATTCTGCTCACAGCCAGAGAGAGGTCAGCTCAGCACCAGGGTCACAGGAAAGCTCTGTTAAAGGGAAAGCTCTCCTGCAGCCTTGTGAAAGTGAGCCTCAGCACACGGCTCAAAGGCTGTCTCCTGCTCATTGCATTTCTGCCCCCCACTATCATGTACTCCTAACTCCAACCTACAGCCCTGTCTCCACAGGTAGATCGTCCTGGGTCAGGACAGGAAGAGCAGCTCTCAAAGGCTAAGGGTAGTTTAATCCCAGACGAGTTTACTGGGGCAGGATGGCTGGTCAGGCTAGAGGTGAGAACTGTTGTTGCCCTCCACTACCTTGCTGCCCCCATGTGCATTGCACAGAGAGGGAGGTGGCTCTGAGCTCAGGGCCCAGGGGCGAGGACATTGAACCCCCTGGCTGGGTGTAAGATCTCTCGATGCCTGTGGCGTGGGAGGCAGTACCCAGTGAGACTGGCTTCATCTTCTGCTACCCCAGGTAGCCAAGGAGAAAGATGTGGCTGGTGATAGCAGCCAAAGTCAACCTCCAGATGTGAGCAGGTCCTATTTTTAGTTGCTGGAAACATTTGGACCAGCAAGTCACAAAAAAAGCACAGAAACTCTGCATTTGATAGTTAAGCCCCATTCCAGTGTGGTGAGCTAACATGCAATGAACTCTCCAGGGCTGAGCCTCTGACCCTGGGTCCCGACCTGCAGAAGGCAGGCTCATCTTTTCCCTTGCTGGTCTCTGCAGAGTCATCTGGGGAGCATTAGGTCAGCAGAAGAATATGATGAGAACACAAGCAACATCACAGAACATAAACTGATTGCAGCAGTCCAACTTGGTTTCGAGCAGATAACAATTACGGCATCACATTAATAAGTCGATGAGACAATTATACGACCAAATGCTGCCCAACGGCTTGTTTTTAATCAGGAATTGCTTGGCCTGTGGTAATCATTCGCCAGCTCCCAGCCCAGGCTTCCCAGACGAAATTAAGTTTGTAGACTCCTCTGAAGCTCAGAAATCACATGTCTGCCTGCTGTCAGGAGACGGGGGCACACTTGCAGCTGTGCTGCATCCAAAGGTAACAGTGGTCAGAGGGCAGCAACGGCCACACCACACCAGTGTAGACATCCCTTCCAGCTTGCTAAGCAACACCCTCAGGCTGCCATCTGGGAAGGGGACACCATGCTTGCCTCTGACAAGTGTTGTATGGCAGGAATAACTAAGCTCTATAGGGGATTAGCTGCCATTGCTTCTCAGAAAGCTAGCTGTGGTGCTGACTAAGCAAGGGGCTTTTCATCATAACGATGGGCTGTAATGTCCATCTATCAGCCCTCTCAAATCATATCCTTGGACTAGTTTTCATCAGCAGACAGTCCTTTCTCTCTGAAATCGGTGCTACTGATTGACTGTCCTGCACGCTGAGCTCATACAGTCAGCATACACAGTCCTTGGCTGCCTGCTGTGGGTGTTCCTCCCAGGGCTGCCCATGGGTCTTCCTAAGAACCACAGCAGTTAACACATAACAAGCATTCACTATACCCTAGGCACAGTGCTAAGTGCCTTCCATGCCAGAGCTTTCTGGGTCCACACAACTCCATGAGGTAACAACTATTATTTCCGTTTACAGTCAAGGATGCTGAGACATGAAAGGACTGGGTAACCAGTCAAGACAGGAGTGGCAGAGTGGGGTTTGAATGCAGGCAGGCTGGCCCCGGAACCCAGGGTTTAAATGACTAACACAGGCTCCCTGTGCGTGTGTTCAGGCTCCCTTCCAAGGTGACCCACTGGGACCCCCGGCCAGGAGAGAAGCTCTGTGGTAGCTTGGCAGCTGCCTGCCTGGCCAATGAATCCCAGAAGGTGTGTGGACATGGTCCGAGGCCAACTGAATGGATTCACCCATTAATACAACAGCAATGAATATCTGCCTGGCTCTTGCTGTGTGCTCGGCTGGGCACCGGCACAAAGAACAGCCGTGAGGATACCCTGGGCCCTGGTTCCCAGATGCTTGCCCAAGCTTGAGCAAGAGTCTCCAGGCACAGGACCCTTCGCCATTATCACAGTTAACTACAACAGAGTGGGTGGCCAAGAAAGCGTGCATGTGGGATGTTCCGAGAATGCTGTGCTCAAGTCCTCAAGGAAGGCTTTCTGGAAGAAGCGGGTCTGAACAGAAATGAGTAGAATTAAAGGGCAGTCTTCTGAGGCCCACCCAAGACCTTGGATCTTTCAGGCAACTGACTTGAGAGAGGAGAGCGGACGACTCACACAAGAGGGAAAATACCTGAAGAAATTATATGTGTGGGAGAGGAGTCCTTCCAGAAGTGGGTCACAGAGGTTCAGCCTTAAAAAATTTGCAACTGGTGCTGACTTCTTAATGAATAAGAAGTAGGACAGATGGGAGGTGAAAGGTTAAAGAGGCAATGCTTTTGCAGTCACACCCCTCTGTGCCTGCCCTGCAGTTTCATCAGGCCCTGGGGAGAGCCTCCTGGTCCCTACACGAAGGGTTTGCCTGCAAGTATGAGCACCAGACATACTTTGGTGTCTCACTTATAAAGGGAATTTCCCAAACATTTAGAATGTCACCTTTGTCCCTAAATCACTTCTTGGTCTTGCAGTCTAGGATGTCCCTCTCCCTCTTCATTTCGAGCCAATGCAGCCAGCCAAACAGTGTTTAATTTAGAATGGCCCAGAAGAGCCAAGATTTCTGAAAATGAGGAAGTTGCCCCTGGAACAGGCATTGGGCAGAGACTCCACTTGTAGAGTTGCAAAATGGAATGTGGGAACCTTGCTGAGCCCAGGGCCCCTCCGTCAGTAGAACTGGATGCGTGGAGCATCTGAAGGGCCTGGAGCACCCCACCTGGGTCTTCAGGGTCTGCTCGGGGAGGACACCTGTGTGAGGTCAGCAATTCCGCTCTCTCCCTGCAGGCAACACCACAACAGCCGGGCTGGCAAACTCCATGGAGTCCATCAGGACTTCTCTGAGGCATGTTGCCCTTTAATTACCAATGCAAGTTATTAACAAACCCCAGTTGCTCATTTTTGGTTTTTCAAATAGAAGCAAGATATAATATAGGATGAAATGTAAAGAAATACAAACACAGAGGACCAAACATGTCACTTAGGAACAGGGTTTCAGCAATGACCAGTCTGGGTTTCACATGGCTCACGGCTGCCTTTTACCACCAAGGCCCAGGAGGAACTCAGGCTGCGCTTCTCCGCCCCACCTCGGGCAACATCCCTGGGGGCGTCTGGAAGGTAGCCATGCCCGAGGCACCAGGGGGCCACCAAACCAGAGTCCCTGACTGAGCCCTGGGAATCAGTATTTTAAAAAGTAAACAGAGAGACAAACAAACTTGCCTAGTCCAGACTGAGAACCAGGTCTAACTCCTTCCTGCCAGCCTCTGGCTTAACTGCCAGCACCCATCCTTCACCCTCTGTGCCAGAGGACTTGCCATTTACAAAAACTGTCCTGTAGCTACTTTACTTTGGGATAAAGTTTAATTTTTAAGAAGTAGCTACTAAAAATACATTAGCGAGCATGGGCTGCCTGGGAGTCTGCCTACCTGAAAAGTCTGGTGGGTGAGGATGATGGCATTCCAGGATGCTGGTGGTCCTCGGTGTTTCCGAAGTCCCACCAGCCGTACCCCCTCTCTACGCACCAAGCCTGGGTCTCAGGCCGCTCAGGCTGCTCAGAGCATCCCGTGAACTGCTGCTCTTGCTTGCCTTGGGGTCTGAAGCCTCAGTTACCTGCCTGTCCATCATGATGCAACCTGAGGTCACCTGGACCCCAGCTTTTGTCAGTCCCTGCTTCTGCGTGTTCAAAGAGGGCTGGGACCCATACCCAGGGGCTAGAGTCAAGGCCAAAAGCCCCTGCGGGGGCAGGAGATAGTCCCGAGACCAGGGCTCATTCCTGGCCCTGCCTTTTAATGCTGCGTGAGCACGTGCAGATTTCTTAGCTAGCCTCTGCAGACCTCAGCCCCCTTTGCTGTCAGAATGCGATAGGAGCAGCTCTCTGCAGTGTATGCAAAGTGCTTAGGGCTGGGCTTGTAGTGACTGCTCTATGAATCTATTCGTATCCTTGTCCCTTCAAATGCCTCTAAATCCTTGTCTTTCTCATATCCCCACTTCCCTGGCTCTGGATCAGGTCTTTATAATTTCTGTCAATGTAGACACCCACCAGCACTATTTGTCTTTGGTGACTCCATCTTCCACACTAATGGTATCATCCGTGCACCTCTGCCTTGCTTAAAGACATTCACCTGGCTCTCTGCTGACTGCAGAATAAAATCAAGGTGCTTCTGCAGGCACTCAGGGTCCTGGTCACTAAATCCCTCACTGCTTCATTGCCTCCTGCCCCAGCTGTGCACATACACACATATGCACACACACATGTCTGCATGTTCCCTTCCCTACTTTTATGGAGTTACTTGTCGTGCCCAGACTCCTGGGAGCAAGCCAGACCCTCCCTGCTCTGCTCCTGGTGAAGCCCTATGTTTCAGGATCCTGCAAAGATGCCCTGATGCCGAGGAAGAGGTATGTGATTCTCCTCTGCATCCATAGCACCTGACTGCCAGCATCAACCTAGTTCCTGCTAGGTGGAACCATGCTAAGTGGTCTATGAGTTGGCCTTCCTACAAAGCTGTGACCCCTTAAGTGGAGGGACCATGTCGGATACATCCTGACTTTTATGATTCAGGGCCCGGGACTGTCTGTAAGGCCTCATAGAATGGGCTTGAATTTCCAGATAGGCTTGTGCTTTCATTTTTCTGAAAACTTAATTCAAATATAATAGGATTGTTTGGACATGTAGCTATCATGAGGCATCCTCAAGCCATATTTTCTACGTGAGCATTTCAGAGGATCCTGGCTGGGAAAGATTCAGCGATGAGTTGGGTCCCTTTCTGCTCTCAGGCCATCCTCACAGGTGGGACAGGGTAGTGCTGAGAATTAGTTATGTCAGTGGCACTGGCCACGTCACACATGGAAACCGCCTGGGGAGTGTCTACAAATCCTGGCATCCAGGCCTCACCAAGATGCCCAGGCAGCAAGGCCCTGGAGAGCTTCCAGGCCATGCCGACGGGCAGCCAAGTGTGAAGCAGCTGTTTTAGGTTTGAGAGCCATCAGCACCAACAGCCCAGTGCTCTGGGTGCGCTGCCAAAGGGCAGGGGTGCGGGCGGTCTCACCATTCCCTTGCGTGTGGGCAGTGAAGGAGGTTGGCGGGCAAACAGCCCTGGGGGAGATGGGACTCCCAGGGTCTCTGTTAGCTCGGACGTTAGCTTTGCTAAGGGGGAGCTCTTGCCCACCTAGTTCTTGGTGAGGGAATCTCCAACAGCCCAATGGGCTTAAAGTCAGTTCCTGTGGCTTGGGACTATGGAGCTGTGGCCCCCTTGCAGACGAGAGCCTGTCCTTGGGGGACCTGTGGGATCTGCCCAGGAAGACATGGGAAGAGGCCAGCTCGGGAGTTCTCCAAAGGGTCAGATGTTCCCTATCAGTGTTTAGATCTCACGGAAGGGCCCATGGACTGGGATCCTGCCTGGCCCGAAGACAGGCTGAGGGGCAACATGTCCAAAAGCCACCACAATCCCGATAGCTCGGGCTGACGTCTCCTGTAGCTGCTCCAGGCCTCCGGCTTTGTGTACTCAGAGGCAGGGAAGTCCGCAGTCCAGCCCAGGACCAGAGGCGGAACCGGTGTGCCCACTGAGTCACATGAAGTGTGCTTCATCCCTTCCACCTCACTGCCAAACATTTCCAGATTTGAAAGATTTAATTACCTAAAAAAGAACTTACCTTGTCAACGTGATTAGCAATCTCTATTAATCGCTGCTTAACTTTCTCCAGATCTTTTCCTTGCCTCTGAAACTTAATAATTTTAAATGTCAGCATTAGTAATGGCTTGACTATCAATCAACTCCCATCTTCCCAGCTCCTGGAATTGTGAAGTCTTGGGCTTTACAAACCACCCGGGGCCCTCCACAGTTTATACTGAAGTGAGCTCCCATCCTGCCGAGTAATTTCCCCACTGGGACCTTCTGAAATTCCCTGAAATTCGCCCAAGCCAAGCCCTCAGAAGACAGCAACTTCTGAGATTTTTCTAGCCTTATAAATGATGGAGGCAGTGACATGTTTTGGCAAAGAGAAAACAGACAGCCAGAAGGCAGTCCAAAGCCATTTTTCATATCATCAACTGGATTGTAACTTCCTCAAAATTTCTCTTTATATTTGTTTTTAATAATTAGATAGTGAAAGTACTAGAAGCTCATGGCAACATGTCAAACAATGCTGAGAACAGATGAACAGTTAATGAATTCCCCTTTCTTCCCTCTGATCTGACCTTCCAAAGCGGGAACATGTTTCCCAGAAATGGTCAAGCCTGATTCGCTCAGAGGTGTTCAGTGAGTCTACAAGAAAATGTCACCTCATTCCTAGTGTGTAGTGGTAAGAAATGAACCCAGAGAAGATTATCTAAAAAATGCTAATTAAAAATTAATTTAAATAACATAGTATCAAGCCATACTTCGGAAGGGGGGCTTCTGCTGTGTCAATAGCCTTTATTCATTCATTCATTTTGGTTTAGGGTATATTGGACACTTTTTAAACTAAACTTGTCTTAAAAATGTTTTAGAAGACATTCTAAAGCCATCTGCCATTTCCCCCAGGTAATTCTCCCTGTTTGAAGAGCTTATCTACAGAGCAATTGTTTTCTTTTCTGGAGTCCTTGTTATTATTTTTTCATATCAGATATGCTTCAATATTTCATACTTTATAAATTTAGAAAACCACTTTTTCAAAGGATTGTTTACAGTGCTTTTAAGGGCTCACAGAACATTAAAGCAAGTGATTTGTTCAACATTTCTTCCCCCCTCCTTCCGCCCCCACCTGTTTTTAACCAGCTATACCAGGACATTTCAAAAAGTTCTTACCTCTCGGTTGTCAGCCACAATGACCAGCTCAACATACTTGGTCATTTTGAGGGTCTCTCTTTTATGCTGCCAAAAGTAAGCATGGATTTATTTCCGTTACTGCCTTTCTGGGGTGTCCAGAACACTGTCAATATCTCTCAACCCAACCAGTTTAACTGAGGTGAGAGTCTGTCTGGCTCCCAGACTTTCATTTCACCTGGAAACTCCCCTCCTACCCACCCCCAAACCTTTCTTCGGAATCACTGATGACAGGACCAGGACAAGTTGAGATGACGATTCAACAAACAGAGAAACAAAACCAAAGTTCTTGGCTCCACAACAGAAGCCAGTCAACAAGCGTCCGTTTCAGGCTGTGCATAGTGGGTTTGAAGATCCCCACGGAAGACGATGGAGTTCAGTTCCCTTTGCCTTTAAGACCCGGTTTTGTGATTAGGGAAAAGTGGAGGGGAACCTCTTTTGGGCAGGAACTGCATGAGCCTTCCGGCCAGGCCATGAGTAGCCTGTTCCCGGTGGCTCAGTTCTTGTGGCTGATCATTTAAAAATCCGGGTAGAAGCACCTGAAGAAGACAGGTGGCCTGGAGGACAGGTAACAGCCAGGCTGATAAACAGGGAACAGAGCCAGGCAAAAAAGAGGTGCTAGGAGGAAAACCAGAAAGGAACAAAGGCAAGAGACTAGAAAGAAACAGTGTCAAGAGAAAAAAAAAAAAGATGGAAATATGCCACTGGAGTAAAGGAATTTGAGAAGAATGAAATAGTTGAGAAGAATATGGGAATTGTCTGTGGGCGGGGAGTCGAGGGGGACGAGAACTCAGGCAACGGAAGTGCGAACCCCTCTCAAATAAGGGCAGCCTCTGAAGTGGGTTACGTTTTAATCAAGTTTCCTCAAAAAACATTCGCACTCTTCTGTGAATTACTGGGAGAATCCCAAAGGCATTTTTAGGAGGAAAAAGAGCAATTCATGGAGGGTGGTCCCAAAAAGCAAACATTAATAACAAAAAAACAAAGCCTCTGTTTCTGCAATAAAATGCATTTGGAGGAAATGGGGGGTTGAACTGGTCTTGATTCTTGTGACGGATGTTGCTGGTCTATGAGTTAACTGCACACAGTGCTTAATGTTTAAAGCTTGCAGGTTACAACCACGCTTTCAGACAAAAGCAAAAATGACTAAGGCGTGCCTTAAATCAGTTTTCCAGCCATATAATCCCGAGGGAAACATCTTTGCAAAAACAAATCCCCATCAGTCCGGGACCTTCCAAACAGATTTTTCACAAGAAAAGTGTTTGTATCATAGCTGTGTCCCTCCTTGCTGCCCAGCTGTGCTGACTCATGAATTTAGGTATCGCTAAAGAAATGTGGAAACCTGATGGGGGGAAGAAAAATAAAGCGCCGTGAAAAGTATAATTTCTCATGCTTTTACAATGTTACAGGAAAAAAAGCCAAGCTTTGCAGCTATGTGGTGTAGGCATGCTTTTTGGTGATAACTATATACCTATAAAGGAAAACAGATTAGTCCCAGTGGTAACCAATAGTATACACAAAATGAGACACCTTCTGAAAGTGTGAAGATCTTGCCCCTTCCCTTATTGAAGTTGAAAGAAGTCTCTTCTCCCCACCCCCACAATTCAATGGTTAACCATGAACAGATTCTGCTGATTGTACAGAAGAAATTACAGTTCTGTACAAGAAAAAATAAATTAATCTCCCATTGAAAAACTCACAGATGGGGCCTCAGTTTAGCCATTTACACCTTTCATACTGCAAAGGGATGAAATAAATGACTGGGGACATTTCCAAGTGGCCTTGATCATCATTTAGAAAATACACAGTTCCAGATAATGCAAACAAACACATGAGCACAATTTTCCTGTCACTGCAGTTTTCAGAGAAGTCCAAATTTTCTCATGAATTCAGAGAACTGTGAGCTCAGAGAGAAGCCTAACCACATAATAATAATAAGCCGTGGGGGAGTGGCCGGCTCATGGCGGCCAAGACTCATTCTCCCATCAGCAGACACAGAAAGACTTAAATTACCTCCACAGGATTTTCACCTAGCTGGGCTGTCCAGTTAAAAAAAAAAAAAATTCTATTTAAAATCTTCGATGTGTAAAACAACATTTGAAACTGGTTGTTTGATTGAAATTTTATTTTGGGGGGATTATAAACAAAAGCCCTTCCACAAACAGACAGGAACATAAGCCTCTGAGAAGGGCCCCGTGGTCTGGTTCCAAGGTGGAGACCAAGCATTCTTTGAGTCTTGCTCAAGAGGGAGCCAGTTCCTGGGCCTCTTGGAGTCCTCAAGGCCAAGTTCCCAGAGACAGAATAAACCCCAAGCATGTTGCAACAAGAACTCTGGCGCTGGGAACTTAACCCAACTCAAGTGAGAAAAGCAAGTTGAGACTAGCATTACAATAAATTCGTGCTGTAATTCTGTCTTCATATGGGCCAGGCTATTTGCATATCATATACCCATCCCACAAACAACACTGGGAGCTCTCCATGTCTAGGCACTGTACTGGGGTCTTGGGATAAAGGGATGGACGAGAACAAGGTCCTGCCCTCATGAAGCTCACATTCTAGCAAGGGGTTGGGAGAAGGAGTGACAATAAAGAATTAACAGAATTAAAAGCATAGTCTGTAAACCGTGCATTAAAGGAAACAAGCATGGTTCTGCAATGAGGATACAGATGCGGGGAGAGGGACCAAGTTGGCCAAGCCCTGAGGATGAGAAGCAGGTATATGTGGAGAGCGTGGCAGGAACAGTGTTTCAGGTAGATGGAATAGCAACAGCAGAAGTCCTGAGGCTGCGGAGAACTTGGATTTGCGTAGCAACAGGCAGAATGACTGCGGTCTGGACAGTGAGGGAAGAATGTAAATGAGATGGGGCTGAAGATGTGGACAAGGATGGGGCTGTGACAGGCAAGGGAATGGTAATCTAATAATCTAAGGGAAGAGGGGCCCTTGAATGTGAGGTGTTTGAATATCACTCTGGCTGCTGGGAGGAGAACGATTCTAGGGAGACTGTAATGGAAACCAACACTGCTGGTGAGAGCTGGTGACACTTTGGGCAGTAATGATGGAGATTGGCAAACAGATTAGGGTCAAGGGTGATACAACCAAAGAACAAAAACAAGTAACAGTGGAACCAGGGCCAATGGTCCCACAGGCAGCAAGATCAGCAAATCAAATGAATTAGAAGTTGGGCTGATCTTCCTCTGAATAAGGAAAGATCATTTTTGGCTCAAGAATCTCAATGTCTTGGAGGTGGAGCCAAGATGGTGGCGTGAGTAGAGCAGCGGAAATCTCCTACCAAAACCACATATATTTTTGAAAATACAACAAAGACAACTCTTCCTAAAAGAGAGACCAGAAGACACAGGACAACAGCCAGACTACATCCATACCTGCAAGAACCCAGTGCCTGGCGAAGGGGCTTTTCTTCTTCCTTCCTAATTACAACCCTTTAGTAGAATTCATGCCTCATATCAAAAATTACTGAGTATCATAATTCTTCCAAGTGGTAAAGATACCTTAAGACAAATGTTGGGCATAGAAGCCACAGGGCATAAATCTGCAAAGAAGTAAAATGCTAACCTTTTCAAACAATATGGCCTCTCTCTCACTTACCAACTTTACATTTCCCTGTATGGCCCCGGAAGATGACTGGTTAGCCAGAGACAGGTAAGATTCCTCAAGGGAGGAACAACCTAAGACAGGCACAGTCGCAGGTGGGCCATCAGGTGAGAAATTGGGGATCAACAGAGGTGAGGCTTAGAACCTCACCCACTGTTTTGAGAGAAATCTTCTGCATCTGTGGATGTTTTATTGCCCTTGTCTAGCTTGGATTAATACTTAGTCTATAGGCACACACCTGATCATCTCATTTGCCCTCTTACAGCACTAAACTATGTTTTCTACCTTTATCTTGCATCTACCTACCACTTCAGCATTTTATTAAAAAAAAAAATAAGGGAGAAATGTGGAATTCACATATAAATCAAGTATAAAAATCAAATGAATCATAGCTGACATGATTGTTTATAGTTCATGATGCGTGATCAAAACCGAAAGTTTTTGTGATATGACTGCCCTTGCACTGTTCACCATGTAAGAACTTATTCACTATGTAAGAACTTGTTCACCATGTAAGAGCTTGTTCGTTATGCTTCAGAAGATTGGAGATTGTTGAGAATTAGGCTTGGGGTGGATTAATGATTGTTCATTGAGTCCCCTATACAGAATTTTATTGTTGTTAACAACCATTTGATCAATAAATATGAGAGATGCCCTCTCAAAAAAAAAAGAAAAGAATCTCAACGTCTTGACTCAAGCCCACTGCATGAATATTTATAAGCTGAGCCCGGTCTCCACCTGAAAGGTCTCCGCCATCCTTAGCAATGACTTGTGCGGGGCCAAAGCACACTCACCTTACCTGCCTGCAATGCAGCCTCTGGGGCCTGGCTCTTGAGGCTGCAGAACTCATAAGCCAAAGAGACAATGAGCTGGAGGAAGGGCTGAATCTGGGGACTGAATGTTAACAGGGACAAATGCAAAATACTGAAAATAAGTCCAAAACCCAGTGGCACACGAGATCCGTTACTTATTTATCCAGAGTTTTAACTGATTTGAGTCTAAATAGGAATCCACACTGATAGGTGCTCACAGCCTGGGGCCAAGGAGACAAGAGGGAGGCTGCCTTTTACCACCAGCAAGCTGTCCGCACCACCCAGGGCGGTAAGAGACCCTGATGCACACTCAGAGGAGGCGGAAATGCAGATGGTTAGGTTAGAGAGGAACTAAACGTGCCTGCTAGGAGTGATGCGCTTCCACCTGGCCCTGGCCAGGTCCCGGTATTCAGCTACTACTGAACTGGGCTCTGCGTAGAATACACATTACAGTTCCTGCTGCTACCCCCGCCCCCATCACATCACCTACTCAGCAAATAGGACAGGCTGTCTAGAAACCCAAAGAGCAGCATCCGCTCACTCCAAAACAGTGTCCCTGAATCAACTCAGCGGCCCGAGCAATCACTGCTTTCTAGAGAAGACTCGACTTTTACCCTCAACTCCTAACTATCCACACTAACGGAGGGGAACAATAGCACAGAGAATCCCCAAAGAAAGGATAATTCAAAGATAATTTACATTTGCTTCTGGGATGTATTACATGACTTTTTTCCTGTAGCTGATTGCGGAGGCTTTGCCTTTCCCACAGCCTGCTCTGGCCAATGTTAAAATTAGTTCGCATTCTCTAACGCCTGCTGAGGGAGAGGGAAGGGGGGTGCGGCAGGGGGCCGCAGTGGCAGGAGCTCTTCAGGCTGCACGTGGGGACCCGCAGAGGAAAACTGACTTGCAGGAGTCCTTCCAGGAGCAACGTGGGTTCCCACTAAAGTCTAAAGGACAACCTTGTAAAAATGATAAACAATAGCTCAAGCTATACTGCAGCCAGTGCATAACGCGAGTGCAGATGGATTTCTGCTGCTCTGTGAAGGAAAACACGAGTAACTGCGGAAAAATGTCAGTCTGCAAACCAATCTTCGCAATAGTTAACATTTAGTAGGAGCAGAAAAATGCTGGCAAGAAGCAAATGCGGTTGCTGCATTGCATAAACAAGTTGAGTTAGCTGCAGCCACATTGATTTCTAGTATAAATTGAAGGCAGTGTGAGTGAGGCAGGTAAGCAACACACACACACCTTGAATGTGTCCGTAGACGCTCTCCGAAGCCACCCTGTATTCATTCCCCTGCCCAAGTATTCCGCTCCATTGAAAATGAGTTTTTGTATCATTTTTCCTTACGTAGATGGACTTTAAGTCAAAGACATTTCCTCCTGTGTGGAAATGATCACAACTATTCCTAGAGAGAAACATTGAGAATGGAGGCGGTACCCTCCCCTTTCAATTTAAAGCTTCATTAACACTCCAATATGCATTATTAAAAAAACAACATTGTTATTCAGGTTTTCCACATTTCTCTGCAAGCCAAAATGGCTGGAAATCACCGTGCCAATCCCTGTTCTCGAGAACTGTAAGCTTAAAGAGTTAAAATATGGCTGGCAAGTCCAGAGCATGTTCCTGATTCTAAATGAAACGGCAAACATATCTGAGTATCATTTAAACTGTTAAGTCACAAATCTCATAACATGGGTGATGTGTATTCAGCAAAGTACTCGGAGCCCAGTGCCTTGGAAGTAAAAGGCCAATGTTCTCCTTGTGTATGACTGGAAAGGCTACAGCTTAGCCACACCTTATCTGAGGCCTGGAGTCAGAGGCTGGAGTGCTGGCAGAGTAATATAAACATGCGTGGGCTGCAGAGGCTGGTCTTTGGGATTGCAGCTCTTCAGTCTGTCACTCTAACGTGGGTGGGGAGACCAACGCAGGGTGAAAACTCTTGCGTATTTTTTTCAAACTCTGCTCCTGGGATTCAGATTCAGTCTCCCTGACAGAGCATCAATGTCAAGGTGGGCCACAGGCCCTGATAGGGATCTTTCCCTCCTGTGTGATGGGCAGAAAATGCAAAAGAGGCTGCAAAGCACCTGCTGTGGAAAATCCTGGGAGCACGTTAACAGAGGAAGTTGGGGTCACCCAGGCAGAACAGCAGGATGGGAGGGGCACATTAAAACTAGACTGAGGAGCCCTGAGAAGGTTCAGGGGAGGGCAGGTTAGGAGCACACCCAGTGCCCACGGGTGCAAATGGGAAGAAATTGCTTAGGACAACGTGTACTGCTGGGATTTAGAAAAATGAGTAGGAATGAAGAGAGAGGAAGGGTATTTATAAACTGTTGAATGCTAAGCAATGAAACACTCAAATTCAAGTCAGGAAAGACAAAATGTGTTAAGTGACCCAGGAAAGACATGGGTCAGGAAGAACATGTCCCTAGACCATCAAATGCAAGCTAAGTGATGTCATATCTATGAATTCTTGATTGCTTGTCAACAGAGGAACAGGAAAGCCAGAGATGAAAAATCAGGAAATTGTTGAAAACTTCCTCTCTGGTTGGACTCATGCAAATTCAGGGTCTCCGGCCAACTGTGGCCACCATCCCCCCTTTCGCAGCACTCTGCTGTGAGCCCGTCTGACACTGGATGATAAAGGGTCGGGCAGCCACGTGGGCTGGAGGTTTCCTGTTGTTGTATGTGGGGTGTTGGGGCGCCCGTACTTCTGTCCACTTAGCAGAGGGACATCCAGGGCCCTGACTCCACTAGGCAATGACTGTCTGCATCTCGGTGGCAGAAGGAGGACCTTGGATGAGCAGCCCTGGGGGCAGGTGGCCAGCACGTAGGCTGCCTGTATAGTCCCGGGAGGGGAGTAGGGTGGCATCTATGGCGTGACCTGGGCTAAGCACCACTCCTTAGGACCACTGTATCACCCAAGGCTCAATTGGCCTCTGCCCAGGCATGTGGGTAAAGACTGGGATGTTATGAAAATCATACTGAAGACCCTAGTTACAAGACAGACTTTCAAAGAAAGAAACCTCCGTATGGTCTTTCTCCTCCCACAGCAGGAGAGCTGCCCTGGAGCAGGTGAGGGCCCATGCAGCGATGGTGGGTGTGACCCTGGGCCTAGACCCACGGTAGCTTCTCATTGGACACGTGAGGAATGGTGGTTTGTAGGCCTCTGTGCCTGACCCCACCCAGCACAGGTTAGGGTGTCTGACGCCAATGCTTGCAATACAGTGTTGGAGGGTGTAGACCTGATGATTCCCTGTTACACGGTATCAGGCCCTCAGATAACCTGGGTGGCTCCACTCCCAGACCCACCATCCAGATGGCCAGATTTCTCCAGATGTTCTAGCACTGGGTGTCCCTAGTGGAGCCCCTGGAACACGACATTGGGTTTCTTTCCTACCCTTCTTGCCCATGGTGGGGAGGGTGGTGGGAGCTTGTAGTCCTCAGTGAGGGCTGCTGTGCTGAGATGTGATCCGCAGGACCCCCAGGGGCCCCTCAGGTCCTCTGCTGGGAAGACTTTGTATCTGTTGGTTGCATTTTCCATTGGTTCCAAGATATAGGTGTTATTTTCAAATGTAATAAGTCCCCTGTTGAGAAAGAAATAAGAAAAGATATATAATTTTTAAGGGCAGCTTCTGGTTTATGGCTAAGGCCCAGTTCTTAATGAGAATGAAATAAGAAATACCAATTTAGTATATCCTCAGGCTTTAATCGGAAAGGCCACTTCTTTACCATATGTTTGCATCAATTGATTTTGCAAATCTTTTGAAAAGCATGCCAGAAATTTCTTGTTTCAAATATTTTGTGGTAAAGAATAGATTGCATTTAGTCTTTATGTATTTTGTTTTGTTATGATGTCTCAAAGGCAGACGGCTGAGAAGGAGAGTTGAGAGAAATGGTACATCAGCGGCTTAGAAAATAACTCGACCTGAATTAACAGACACGATCCAGAAGGGAAATCTTTTTGTTTTCAAGGAAAATTCCCACATCTGAATTATTCATCCTTATCGGCTATATATATCCTAACTATTTGAATGGATTCTCATGCAAGGTTGGTATGAACTTATGCCTTTTTGGGTACCTTGCTTATTTAATTTGTGGGAGATATGCAAATAGAAAAACAATCTAAGTGTGCAAAGCACTAGACCTGCTTCTTGCAGGCTGAGCTCTGTCCCTGGGCTGTGTTGGCTAAAGGTGGCGGGCTCCTAATAGGGGTGAAGAATACTGCTGGACGTCCAGCCCGAGGCTGACGAGGTGGCCTTTGGAGTCCGACAGTCTGGATTCAGAGCCAGCTGTACCACACACTGGCCGTGTGACCTTGGCCTCTTTAAGCCTTGGTCCTTCATCTGGTAAATGGGGTAATAGTACCTACTTCTCAGGGCTACTGTGTCATCTAGTTAGAACTTTTTGCCCAGTGGAGGCCACACACCAGAGCTTAAATGGTAGTTGCCCCAGTTGCTCCTGACAAGGGCAGGTCCATGGATTAGGCTTCTGTTAGTGTGTTTTTCCAAAGCCTGACAATTTCAGGAAGGTCCTATGTGGTGTTCACACATCTGCCCACACACTGGCCATCCATGGCTCATGTAATACAGCACTGATAAGATAAATACACATTTGGGAAGGATGATGACTAAGAACTTGCTAGGCTAACATTTAGATTCGGGAATAAATGTATGAATGCCTTTAAAAAAGTGGACAGATTTGCTAAACATTCTAACCTGGAGAGACAGAGGGTAGCAGTAGGCCGCGGACCCCAGTGCATGCCTGACTGGGAGCAGAATGGAGCCGAGGCTGCGCCCCGCATCCTGCAAAGGAGCCGCGCTAGCCTGAGAGCACCAGCTTCCTTCTAGCGATGCCAGCATGGGCCTGCCAGATGCTCTGCGTTCCTTTCTTTTCCAATGTGACAAGAAGTAATTTAAAAGGCCCTTCTTGATGTTGAAAAATGATTTTCTTTAAAGAAAGGGCATTTTGGGTAACAGCAAACTAGTGGCTTTAAGACTTCCCACACATCTTGTAACTTCCATTACTGAGCAAGGAGCCCACAGTCCTCCAGGACAGAGGAGCACTGGAGTTTCATGCAAAATGAATCTGACTGTGAACAGTTCTGACGGAGTGACCCTTAAGCTAGTCTGAGATACACCCTCCTCAAAAAAAATCGCACATACATATATCCACAACATTTTGCAGATAATTTCAGGAGGTTCAGGACTATGGGTGAGGTCCATGGGCTCCACGTGTAGGGCATTAACCCTAACACACAACGTCTGTCGTCAAGCCAAGGATTTGAGAATACCTTAAACCTTAAGAAATAGCTGAAAAAGCGGAGTGCTCCATCAGGTTCCTTCAGACAATACGAGTTTGACTCCAAAGGAGGGGCCTTGCAAGGCCTTCATTACTGCTCATCTATTTCAGTCATTCACTCATCCTGTGCTTACTGATGGCCCACTTATGGGTGGCTATTTATAGTCATTCTTAAAGTTTAAGAGAATGACAATATCTCAATACTCAAATAGTATGGAAGGAAAAGGTTTGAGTTAGTCAAATATTTATTTTGAACACAACTCGTGGACAAATACATACTAACCAATTCATTACTATTCAGTAGGTTCACCCCACCAGTCCAGTTGAATGAGATGTTACAGGCTCTGGGAAAGACAGAAAGATCATGCCCAGAACCCCTGCACCCTGATCGAGAAGACAGCGCCAGGACACATGGTACAACCAGAAATCACTGGACAGCTGGGCTGGGTGTTACTTAACTGGTCAGATGTTGAGGGAACCAATGTGGTTTGGGGTAACTGGATAATTTTTGGCTATTTTCAAATCCCACAGAGGAATTAAAAATCATTATGTATGGCTATTCTCTTGTGTTCCCTGCCTGCTACCACCCATCCAAACTAGTGTTCATGTATCTCCAGAAGATCATGCAGGCATGGCTTTGACCATCACCTCTGTGGGGTGGCTTGCATTTCTTTCCTTGAAAAATTCTTTATGACATAAGACTTAGAATTCTAAGTTTAAAATGGGTAGTGGGGGATTGTTAAAAAATTAAATCTGACTTTTAAAAGTCTAAATTAAAGAGAATTAGTTCAAAAAATAGGCCAGGGGAAAGTGGACATGAACATACTTGAAGGGTAAAATATAGACTTGCTAGAAAACTGACTTTCCTCCCTAAAAGGAAAATGACAGCAACATTTCATTTTGTACTGTAACATTTTCTATTTTCCATTAGATTTAAATAAGCTGAACACTTAGAGTAAAACATGTCACTAAGTTCTAATCATGAGAAGCAAATGACTGAAAAAGTTTTTCTACTTAATGGAAAATTTCTCGAAATTGTTACTTAGTCATAAAAATGTTCTCATATCTCCTTTTATCTTTTAAGTCATCCAAGGGCCAGATGTTGAGAAACTGGGGTGAAGGCTTTCCCTTTGCTCCAAACAATTGGCAGTCTGTAACACAGCTTAATTAAATAATTGCTTTGGACTGTCTTGGCCATAATTAATCATTTAGCTCCAGAGATTGCTGGAAACAACAGTGGACATAAAATTCAAGGATTCAGGGTTTCTGAGATGTAAAATTTTTATGTTCTCACAGCCCTTACTGGCCCCAAGCTAGATAAGCGAATGTAATTTAGGTTGAATGTCAAAGATGTTTAGTTGTAAACTTGGAGTTCGAAGTTATCTCAGAGTATGGAATTTAAATCCAGCCAGCTTTGAAAAAAGAGGGGGGTGGTTTCTTTCTCTCTTGGTGGAGAGTGGGGAGAGGGGTTAGAAGACAGCTTCCGGGGCTTGGGCAAGATGAACACGGTGGATGTCTTCTCCAGGAGGCCATCAGGAGGACAGGGGGGTACTGGACGGGCCATCCTGGGGAGAGGTGAGGCCAAGGTCTAGGGTTCGGTGAATGGAGGGAGAAGAGAAAGGGGTGGTGTGGAGATGAGGGCACCCTTTATGGGTCCAGGCAGTGGTCCGTTGCATTAATTACCCAATGGGTCCACCCACAGTTGCAACTTTGGCCGTTGTCCCCACTGTCAAGGCCATGCAGGTGGCTCGAGGCAGAGCTGCGACCCATGCTGGACAGTGTGTCCAAGCCTTGGGCTTTTCAACACAGGTTCCTGTCTCCCTCCAGGGCTGTCCGGAGAGGGCAGTGGAGCCGGAAACAGGGGCCAGAGAAATAAGGGCCACTGCTTCGAAAACAGGCAGCCTTACTCAAAATTTTAAAATCTTGCTTTTCCTTCAGTGGAAGCGAAGAGGAATCTATTAACATTTTAAGGTGATTTTGTTAGCTTTCAAAGTAAAAACTCAGGAGACCTCTATTTCCTCAAGATAAGTTTTTGTCCGACTCAAAAATTCAGTTTTTAATTTCCGAAGCTGGGGTATATCAGGCAATAACACAGCTTAATGTTGTTCTTACTACACTTTTTCTTACTATTTCCAGGCAAGCAGGGTAGCGGCACATGGACGTTGACAACCTGTAATAAGATGATGATTAAATATATGATGTATGCTGGCTAGTTCCGTGTACAAGTGCTAATTGAATTTTCTTGGAAAAAGGACTTGGGGTCTCATTACCATAGTGTCAATCATAAGGTGGAAATGCAGTTGGCATGTAATGTAATTTCAGTCCTTTTTGGAGGAGCTCATGGGTAAATGCCGGGTCCCATCTCACACAAGTTGGATACACAGTGACGACAGCAGTATTAGTGAACACGTCAGCACCACAGGGCTTGTTACCTAAGTAATTTCCATGTGGACTGTTGATGAACATTCAAAACAAGTATTCAGCCTGCCCTACTATGTGCAGGGCACTGACCTGGCTTCCGTAGACATAAAGTCATCTCACCCTCAGCTCCTGTTTCAAACATAAATTACAACCAGGCTTGGGAGGCCCGGCAAAAAGAGGCAGTTATTCCTGGCACACCAATAATGATAATAGCAGCTGTTTATGATGAGACCACTTTGAGCCTGGATCCTTTTTAAACTAAGAGCCTTAATGAGAAATGACCCACGTACCATTAAGAGCTCTCCTTGAAGAGTGTGGTTCAGTGGCTTTCAGGGTGTTCACTGAGTCATGCAAACAGGACCACAACCTGACTTGGGAACATTTCCATCACTCCCAGGAAACCTTGCGCCCATTAGCGGCCAGTCCTTGCCCTGCCCTGGCCCCATGAGCCTTACTCGGGAATTCTCTATTTTCTAGTGTTCACATGGAGCCTGCAGTGGGTTGAACAGTGTCATCCTAAAAGATCTGTCCAAGTCAACCCCTGGCACCTGTGAACGTAGCCCTTGGGAAAAGGCTCTTTGCAGATGTGACTTTCTTAAGGATCTGAAGATGAAATCATTCTAGATTTAGGGGCCCTAAATTCAATGACATGTGTCCTTTTAAGAGACAGAGAAAGGAGATAGTTACAGAGAGGACGCCCTGGGAAGATGGACAGAAACTGGAGTGATTCAGCTACAAGCCAAGGAACTACCAGCTGCTGCCAGGAGCCAGGCCCAGCATGGGTCCCCCTCGGAGCCTCCAGGAGGAGCCAAAGTGGAAGGCACTTGGATTTCACACTTTTGGCCCTCGGATGAGTGAATGTGTC